CGCTTGCAATCAAATACACAAACAATTTTTATATTGCGTTGCCTCTCTCATTCTAAGAAAATGAAAAATGAAAATTTCATTGTGATAATGCCCAAGAGGCAACGCAATATAAAAATTGTTTGTGTATTTGATTGCAAGCGTCACTGAAAATTTATATCAGATCATTTTCAGATTTGATGTGCAGTATTGCGTCACAGTGAGAACTTCCAAAGAAGTGTTTTTTACTTATATCAATTGTTTAAACATTAAATTTAATTTTTCTGTTTGAAATCTACAAAAAATTTTGGCTCGCTACGCTCGCCTTAATTTTATATATTCTTTTATTGTATTCATATATTGATATTCATCACATTGGAAATCAAGAATATTTATATCAATCGATTTCTTGCAATGCACGCCAATTTTGTTTTGCTTTCTGCCACTTTTATCATTTGTTTTTACATTGAATTAGAGTTTTATGTTTGCTCTCGAATTTTTTTTTTGCATTTTTAATTGTTTTTGTAAAATTTCGAAACAAAAGGAGAAATTTCTACGGTGAATTTGTGGTATGTATGGTTACCAAATCTATTCAAAACTAATTGCACCGATGTTTTAATTCATTTTTTTCAATTGAATAAAGCCCTCAAAACATCATTTCACTGGTTCAAAATTGAGCGCTCTTCCGATCTATGATAAAAAAAAAACGTAATTCACACATTTTTTTTTAACAAAATTACGATTTTCATCGATTTTTCCCCATTTTTTAATAGTATGGTCATAAATGGATTGAACCATCTCCACTGAATTTTTTTCAAAATTTCTTCGCTGTATGCTCTAGGGGAGCTCAATATCTTTCCAAAGAGCCAAAAATGACGTATCTTTGTTGAAAAACACCCCGTGTACCATAATCTAGAAATTCTCCAAAAATCGAAAAATTTCGAAAAATTTTTTTAATTTGGGAACCGAAAATTTTTTTTGGAACGAATTTTCCCAGATATGACACATACACCAAAACATCACAAATTTAGTCCCCAACAAACGCTCAGTTTTTCACGAAAAAAAAAATGAGTGCAGTTTTTTTAATTTTGGTCGGTGTGAAAAAAGTCATTGTCATTTTTCCAAAAAAACAACACATGCCGCGCCATCTAGCGATCATTTTAGAAATTTTTTCCAATCTGACGTCAGATCTGGATAGCTGAGGTTCGTAGCTTTCCAACGACATATAGATTATTACCTCACCTTTCATATGCACAGAAAGTAGGCCATTCGATGAAAAACTGGAAAAGTGCATTCCACTTTTTTTCGAACCTAGACCTCAGACTCTTGCGTGACGAAATCGAAAAATTCGAAGAGACATGTATGCTCAGTTTTCCATCTACTTTCGAATAAAATCGGTCTCCGGCGATTTATCAAAAAGTACGGAAAAAAATTTGCTTTTGAATTTGATTTTCCGACATGATCATATCTCGGACACTTTTCGATCGATTCCAACAATTTTTTTTTTCAACACTATCTACCCGAACTCCAGTTTCCGAATATGCCATTTTTCGGAAAATTCTTTCTGGTTTGGGTGGTCAAAAATGGACAAAACCAAAAATTCACCTTTTGTTTTTGAAACGCCACCTAGCGGTCAAATTTTGAAATTTTTCATTTTTTTTGCGGATTCTTAATTTGGTGCCCGAGCACTACTAAAATATGCAAAAACCCTTTTCCAAAAGTCAGCGGTTTCGATTTTCATTTCTTTACAGTATATATAGAGTGACGCAAAATATACATATTTCATATGTATGTTGGTATTGCGTCACTTGGGGGACTGCCGTCCCCCGTGATATTGTCAAAATTGATCGAATTCAGTCATTGAAATAGGTTAAGAAGTTAATTATAGTTCGGATAAATCATGTTTCATATTCATATGTTGGCCCCACGTTCATTGCTCACAATTTGCTATGCAAATGACAGTTTTCCAGCTATACGATGCGTTCAAATGGGTGTATACCAAAGTGGAATCACATTAGTTTTGCTCTGAAAGTATTCTAACTAATATAATTAATAATTTGTGGAGGTCTGTCGTACCTTTGGTATTTTGCATGGAAATGTGTTTTATTTTTATTCAAATCGTTTGAAACTTCACCAGTGGCAAGTGTTTGAAGGTAAATGATGATTACCATCAATTTTTAGTCGATATGGTTGTGCGAAGATATTTTTATTTTAACTGAAAGTGTTATTTTTCAATAAATTCACATAATGACTTACCGTGCTCTTGCGGCACTATCTAGCGTTGAGCTATCGGCATGAAACTTTACACACGTTATTTACACACCATATGAAAAAAAAATCCGGGATGAGAGCGAAAAACTTTCAACTTTTGTGTTTTTGGGGCCAGTCTAGTAGTGATATTTTCCGGGCTTATTTTTTATATCCGGGTTTTGATATTTTAATTTTTTAAAAAGCCAAACTTATGATAACTGTTGTACATATTTTATAAATTTTAATGTTAAAAAACGACTTTTTTGAAATTTGACATCAACCGGGATATTACACTTACCTGTATTAATGATTTGACGACATGCTTTGCATGTTATTGTTGAACTCTTCAAATTATTTGTTTTTTTTAGATTGTGATTTTTTTCTAATTGTAGATCTTCGAAAAGTGTAAAAAATTCATTTGAAGTCGATTCTATAGAACTTTTTAATTCTAATGCTGGTACATTTTCGTTCAATTTATTTGCATGCGGAATGTCTTCAACTCGTACAACAATACCTTGACCAACATTGTGCTCTTTAATCTGTCCAACATAATTTTTTAACTGTGATGCTTCAATTTCAGTTAAGCTATGGCACAACGATGGATCCAAATCATGTAAAGGAACTTGATGATTTAATCTTATTTTGCGTCTCATTGATGCTTTGCTTCCGGTTATTGGAATATAATCGGCTTCCATGTCATTTATGTATTCAGTAATCTAATAATTAATAATAATGTAATTGATTAGATAAGTAGAAACCACGCACTCAGCGGCAGAATATTCACACTGTCACTTGTATACAACAATAACATTGTTTATAATAGGCTAGAGCTGTGAATGTAGTATGACGGTGGTTTTGGCCTCCTCTTTTGTTTCTTTATTATTCTCTTTTTTATCTTTATATGTTTTGCTTTTCTTATTAAAACAAGTAATAAAACAAACCAATTCATTATCAATGTTAGGTGGAATCCAGTCAACTCGTTCGGAAACTTTTTTTATATTTACATCTGTTGAAATTTGAGATTGATTTAATATGAATTAGAAATTATGTTTTTATGTTATTGATTTATGTATTTTTAAACTATAATAAATATGTGAACTAACATCCTGGGGTTGATCGTTTTTGACCGAGGATTTCAAATTGCATGTATCCAACGAGATCGTTTTCGTTACAGTCATGTTGATCTCCGGAACATTTACACATTCGGCATGTCTAGAACGTACAAAGAAGAATTTTGAGTACAATTGAATAAAGAATCAATAAAGATAAAAAAAAATCGACATGCCTTGCGCCAAAAATGTAGTTCTAACCCTGTACAATTATCACAATTATGGCATTGTGCGCCCGCTCCAAATTCGTGAGCTAGTTTTCCACGAGTATTCTCTCTCTCTTTACGATTTTGAAATAAAAAAACAACATTTCAGTTTTTAGTGTGATGTCATCATCATATGAATACTCAAAAGTAATCAATAAATCTTATATTTTTAATTAATTCAATTACCACGATTTTCTAGATCTGCCAACCATCCCAAAGTGGGCTTTTGCATTCCATCTACTTTTGGCTTGATTTTATTCATTTTTTCTATAATTTTTTATTTGATATAAACGCAGTCACACATACAATAATCGACAATATTATAACTCGAGTAAATAAATGTTCATTAACAAACGATACCAAAATGAAGGGGGGGATTTGTTGTTTATTTAACATATAAGTAATACCTGTAAAAGTATAAGTTAGTTAACGGTTCATATTGTATCATTTGTCAAAACGAAAAAGAAAACAATCCAGAATGTTTATAAATCTAATAACCATTTGCTTTTTACATTCACAGTGGTTAACCGTCGAATGTCATACCAAAGCTTTCAGGGAGGAGGGCGCTGTAAACTATGTCACATGGATAAGACATATTAAGACGACCTCAAAATATATGTCGTAGGAACCATTTTTTTTCATTTGTGAGATATTACCTAACTTTTCCATACATATATTTGAGCGAAAAAGTAAGTACATTTTTTTTCATTCATATTATTTTAAATATAAATAATTTAAATTTCATAAGAATCTTTTAACCTTTTTTGTGCGCATTTTAGCGAGAAGTGAATTATGTTTCGATTGATCGCTACGCAGTTTTCAAAAGTTGGACACGGTACCTTTCTTGCCCGTACTGCTGTGAACACTGTGGCTACTCGTTTTTGTCATCCTGGAACACCAGACATCTACGATCCCAACTTTGATGCTCAGTATGAAGCCTACTTTAATCGCCCAGATATCGATCATTGGGAAATACGTAAAGCAATGAACGATTTGCTTCGTATGGACTTGATTCCAGATCCAAAAATTGTTGTTGCTGCATTAAAAGCATGTCGACGTCTCAATGACTATGCATTAACGACGAGATGGTTAGAAGGGGTTCACCATCGATGTGGTGGAGATGACCAAACTTGGAACTGGCTTCTTCAAGAAATAAGACCAACCTTAAACGAACTAGGTGTTTCAACTCCACAGGAACTTGGATATGGGGTTCCAGAATTGGCTTTGAAGCGTCCTCACGAATACTAAACGTCTATTCATATTAATCGCATTAATTACACATAGAATTCAACCGTTCTTTTAATTGAAAAAAAAAAATGTATCACAAGAGGTGAATTCAATAGTTAATAAATGAAACATAAGTTTATGTAAATTAAATACATTTGTTGTATTCATTTATTTTTCTATTTTCTGTCTTTTCTGCCTTTAAAATGTTGCTCAAAAAATTTGAATTCTAGATAGTCGAGTATTTCCCTATATTTTTCTATCTAAAACAAAGAAAATCCAACAACAGTGTGTGTGAGAATAGTAGATATAGAGTAGCAATACAAGATTGGAAGTTCTTCACATTTTCCAAGTTGCACTGAGCAGTCGTAGTTAGTCTTTAGTCAAATTTGAACACGCAAACTATTCACACGTTTTTCGATGTCATGAACAACATCCAAAAAAAGACATAACAAAAATTTTTTTGTTGACATTCATTATGATTTTGAAATATTGATTATTTCATTCATTCAATTCTATTATGTGTAATTAAAATATGATTTTTTTCAAATATTGAAGTGTTTGTTTTAATGTTTATGAACATTTTCTACACTTACATATTCATAAAAGGATTATATGATGTCAGTGAGTATAATTTTTTTTTATATACGCACTCTGCGGATTATATAACAAGAAAAAAACAAATTTCTATTTGTGAGACAAATGCATTTCAAAATAGAACATGCGTCGGAGAACTTGAATAATTTTCTGACACAGCTTAAAATCTGGGTTATCCTAGTTCATATAAGTAAATTCATATAATATATATAATATATGAAATAATATAAATCGTTCGAATTTGAAGTGCCTAATTTATGTAATAATTATTATTTTGAATCAATGATTGAAAAGATTGTTTATACACTCGTTTACATACAGCCATACAAACACAAACGCACACATTTGCTGAATATTAGCTGAATTGCGATCTCATATAACAAAAACTTTTTTTCATATTATGTCCACACCAAGCATGTATGTAACAAGCATGTATGTTTGTATTTGAATGAGAATGAGAATGTATGAATAGAAATGAATTATTTCTTTACCATGCTAGAGAGCGAATGTGTCGTTGAATGCGTCGATTCACAAACTCATATACACACATGTGTGTACGGCCTAGGGCTCCATACGAGTAAGCAACAGCATTTTTTTAAATCTGAATCGATCGGTAGTTTTGGTAAATGGTGTTTGAATTTAAGTTCAACTAGACTTCATTTCTGTTCACGATATTTTTCCCATGTTTAAATAACGCAGTTGATGATTTTCAATACGAATCGTTCTCATATTAAATTTCTAATATTATTAAAGTGTCACTGTTCACTGTATGATCTATTACGTAATAATTGAAAATAAAATTAAGTTATCTATATTGAATTGAGTTTATGTGGTGTACAAGTTGATACAGGAAAGTGCAAGACAATTTAACACATCGAAGGTTTGCACTGATCTTAGTGTGATGTCATCATCGTATATATACGCTGTATATTTCCATTTTGAAAGCAATAAATAGCTTATATTTTTAATTAATTCAATTACCAAACAATGTTTTGAAAAGAGTTCACGAAAAAGTGAGAGTATTTATTTAAATATTTAAATCTAAACTCATGAAAGTGCGCGTGATTTATTTTTTAGAATCAATTTATTTAAAAATAAAAAATACGGCGTATTTTGACTTATATTTTATTTTCGTACTAACGAAACTTTATTAAAATTTCCTATTAATGAAATAAAATTAATGCGAATGGTTTACTCTTGAGCAAACTCAAAATATAAACGGAACGGAACGAAACAGTTGTAAAATATTAAAGCGGGCAACACAGATGCATTTATAGAATTATAGAAAATACCAGTTTCCATAAAGTAAAAATAGAAAATCGCTTCAAAATCTGGGTTAAAGTTGAAATATTTTTTGATGAAAAAAGGCGAGAATTTTCTTTTGTGTACTGTTATTTAATTTAAAGTTTTATTTTCGTATTTTTTTTTGCTTTTATTAATATTACTAAACAACAAAATATGAAAAAAATAAACTAGGCTATAAGCGCAAGTCACAAGCAAAGAGTACATGAATTTTAAATTTTTAAAGAAGCTATAATTGATTTTTATATAATTTTACATAATACAAATAACTATAGTCCATTACTTTTTTTTTGTAAAACTTATAAAAATGATTATTATTATGATTGCCCGAAAATGTGTGCTGGACTAGTCAGTATGGTAATACATTCATCATCTACTAAAGTAGTCACCTTTCTACTTATTGAAGCCAATGATCTCATCGCATTCGTCAATTTATTGGTTTAATTAGTGACAAGACTTACAATAAATGCAATATTTCAAAGAGAAAGTTTATTCGAATGCACGCAAATTAAATTGATGTCCTTTTTAAAAAGGAGCTCAGTATGTCAACATTCACAAAAATTATTAAGCAAATCGTACGAAATGAATACCGCCAAGCGGCTTCAAAATCTCCTTTTCTATTTACAAACAATTGCTTAGAATAATCGATTAAAATCGTGAAACATATTTTTGTCTCACTCTGGCCTTCATGGTTTGTTAATAACAAATATAATCGGCTTTAAATGCGACGACGTCGATTGAATATAGCACAAATACAGTCAAAACTTACATGGCAATGACATCATCACGTATACTCATGCAGAAACTACCCCTTAGTTTGGAAATATCGGTTAGATAATACGAAAAACTCATATATTTTTCAGTCTTTGATGAACCATTCAACTGAACAAGAAGAATAAGAATATTTCAAAACTTTTTACTACAAAAAATTTGTAGTCATTTCTGTTCAAATATATAGTGTAATCAAAAAATTAGTGTTTTAATCCCATTTCTCCGCTTTCATGATATTATAAAACCAGCTGAAATAACGCAGAAATTTCACGAAAATATTTTTTTGAAAATTGAGACTTATTAAGAAAGAAAAGACTCAAAACGACCTTGAGATGGTAACCGAAAACGGAATTCAGGTAATATATTTTTTATTTTACTATTTTTTTGTTATTTTATTCCATTTAATTAAACATTTTTTTCTGAGTTCTGAAAGAATATTAAATATAGAAAGAAATATTAAATTGCACACAGACATAGCCCACCATCTTGTTTTTTTTTACTTGAGGAAAAATATCGATTATTCTTATATAAGGGAATATCACAGAACTCATGTTCAAAGTGCCAAATCTTCAAGGCCATTTTAAATAATTACGAAAAAATATTTATACAGTTTATGTTTTCAATATTTCATTACATAATAATGGCAAATACTATTAAATGAGGCGGGAAGTTAATTTAAAAAATATTAACATAAAAATTCTTGATATTGAGTGGAATCTTACTCTAATAAAATCACAGTCTGTTATATAAATCATTCAAACCGGTTCGAAATAATGATTTTTCCCAACCAATATTGAATCTTTGAAAAAGGGCAGTGCGTGAAAATGAGTGTATTGAATCGGGCGTTGGTGTGGTAAAAATAAGTGTACACTACCATAAAAATCAATGCGCATGCGCAAAAATGACAACAATAAAATTGTCTATGCATATTGAATTTTTGTTATTATTCTATTAGATATTTGCAAAGAAAAACTGTCAACAGAAAAAAAAAAATATATCTAATTTTTATTTTTGATATTTATAAATATATTAAATAAGGTTGAATACTGAAAATATAGCGTAATAACAATATAACAGTAAAATTTAACATGAATTGTAATAATGATGCGTATATTTTTGATTTTTAATAATCTAATTGCATTGTTATTGTTCTCGTTTTCATTCATTATTGTTTAAAAACTCAAACGTCAATTATTTTTCAAATTGCAGCAGCCAATTGTGATCCAATGAGATAGTTTTGAAATGATTACAGTTTGTAAATATGTTTCACATTTATTCTACTTTCAGTCGGACGGAAACACATCGTTCCTTCGAGCCGCCCGAGCTGGTAATCTCGAAAAAGTGCTAGAACATCTTAAAAATAATGTTGATATAAATACATGTAATGCTGTAAGTATGAAACAATTCACAAACGAATCGTTCACTAGTCACTGAAAAGCAATTGAAAACTCTAGAATAAAAACAACGTACAGAATGGTTGTTATATCAAAGCGGAACACGGCGTTTTTTGTATAGAATTGTTGTTGTATTACAACAACAAATCTATGTTAAAACAACGCCGTGTTCCGCTTTGATATAACAACCATTTAGTACGTTGTTTTTATTCTAGAGCGTTCAATTGTAGACATTTTGAAATATAAAAAAACGGAAAAAAATTGGTTTTTGTACAATTACAACAACCAAAAACCGAATGAAGTCAACCTATTATTCTCCAATTCAATTTAAGAATGGCTTAAATGCGTTGCATCTAGCAAGTAAAGATGGTCATGTGCATATTGTGTCCGAACTCCTGAAAAGAGGTGCAGCCGTTGACAATTCTACAAAAAAAGGCAACACAGCTCTTCATATTGCTTCGTTGGCTGGTCAAGAAGAAGTTGTTAAACTATTACTTCAATATAACGCTTCGGTCAATGCACAATCACAAAATGGAGTAAGTTTTCTTAAGTTCGAAATCACCAAGTTCTCTTAATTTCTATTAAATGTTTTTTTTTTTTCAAAGTTTTCACCATTATATATGGCTAGTCAAGAGAACCATGATTCAGTAGTTAAATTACTATTGGCAAGCGGTGCAAATCAAAGTTTAGCCACAGAAGATGGATTTACACCATTATTAGGTAAATACACTTTATTGGTTAGATAATACGAAAGTCCACGCTGAATAGCCAGACTTCATTATAAGAACTATTAACATTGTTCCTTAAATTAAACTAAATTTAATTTTTCATTTATTTGTTTGATTGATTGATGGTTGATTTGTTGAATGAGCGATGTGTAGTGTGTGAACGATGCTATTCTCAGTTTTCGCCATCGTCGTCGCTACCGCTACCAGTATCTTTACTATCATCACTGTTGTCAGACAATTCACTGTTGCTCAAATCGATTGCATCTTCTTCGCTGCTTGACGACCACCATGACTGATCCGAATCGTATTCAGCTTCATTGGAATTTGTTGTTTGATACTGAAATGTAAATAACAAACACACATTATACACACATCACATGAATTCAAAAATTATATCCAACGAATAATGGAACTCACCTTTTGTTGCTTTTTACGCTTATTTTCATCAAATTGTTTGAAGCGTCGCTCTGCATGCTGATCTTGTATCTTGGCATCGACTGTGAATGCATCTGGCAATTTTATTCCCAATAGTTCATGATGACCTAAATACATATATGATGAAAATTGAATATTGGATTCAAAGTAAAATAAAAAAACAAATGATTCACTCTAAACATACCGCGAAGACGAATATTTCGACCGGCATTAGTGTCGATTCAATTAAACCGAACGGACTTTTGTCGTATCACCAACATCATCACGGTTTCGTATGTATTTCCATGCGATGACATCTAGACGCCGACGTCGCAAATGTGTTCGTGGCCTCTTCACTGATAATATCGCAGCATTTTCAGCAGCCGACACAAGCATTCCATCGACCATATTGAAGCGTTTCAGTTCGACTTTTGGCTGGCCGCCATCTTCGTCCGAATACCGTGGTCGATATTTTTTCTGCTTCTTCAATTGTTTCGAACTCTTGTGACTGTAAATGAATGAACCAACATCGGGCAGTGCTTCTGGCGATGGTTTACCTGGCGACACACTTTGAATCGAGATTTCGTTGTCTTTCGGCCATTCTTCCAACCATTTTCCAGTACATTGAAGCAACAGCTACATAATTTTGTTGTTCGATATTCATCCACGTAGTGCACGGTACATTGTGGATGTTGTTCGAGTGCTTTGAATAGCAAACAAACACTTGCACGTATATAAACTTTGCATGGTGAATTTGCATGGGTGAACGGCGCCTTGCCAACAAACACAAATGTATGTTTACCATGCCCTTGTGCGACAATCATTCGCACCAATTCACCAATCGTTCGATGTATTTCAATCCAATGCAAAAAATTAGTCAGTACATACGCTTCGCTGCCGTACACTTCCATGGCCCGATTGAAAAATCTTAACGTATGGTCGGTGTACGTTTCAAAATCGTTCGTCCTACTGCTCGGCTGAACATGGCTCTCACACTCTCGTTCGATGCGCTCACGATCGTCGGCTCTGTCGTCTTCAAGCGTACCAACCAGTCGATCTCTTTTTTTTTTTTGAACTGTGGCAATTTCGTCATCCAATGATATTGCTTGCTGGATATTTTAAAATTGCGTACGCTTTTAACTTTCACAGCGCCCGTATCGTCTTTCTCTCGATCGATAATTTGGCCGGCAATGATTTCACGATCGCCAACATCAAAACTTACTTCGCGATCGCAGTGGCGTAATATATTTCGTAGCCGTAACAGTTTCAACGTTTTTCTTCTTCGTCTTCTTCTCTTTGTTCATCAGAAAAACGAATGCATTGCCATCGGTTTGTATTCGATTGGCGAATGTTAAGCCCGCCGAATGGCGTTCGATTTTACTAATGCCGAAATATTTACGCCACATGCGATCCCAAAGTTCTTTGTTGCCATTGAACGGTTGTTGCCAGGGTTTATTACTGCCATTGTTCTTTTTCATTTCCTGTTCCTTTGGATTTTTCAACCGCTTAAGGATTTCGTAGAGGCCACGCTTGTCGATTTGTATGTAGATACGATCAAAACGTGCCTCCGGAATGACTTGATACACTGTCAAATTTGGCGCACATCGAACCCATGTATATTTGACACCTGGCAATCGTTTTCGTGGCACATATTCGGCAATTGAACGACAGATTGATTTTGATTTGTTGTGAGTGGTGGTTTTATGAATTTTGGCTATTGCTTCGGCCTGAAGTTTGGCCTTTGCTGCGGCAACTTCAGCCGGTTGGTTCTTTTCATCTTCATCCATTTGTTTTTTGATGACTAGACAGCGTTCACGATTTCTTGCACGACAATATTGCTGAAGTTGTACGAAAAATGGCACATGACGATACCAATTTGTTCTCAATTTGGAGAAATAACCGCGTCGATTCGCTTCGAAATCCATCGGATTAAAATCGGTTTGAATACGCTTCAGAAGACGTTCGATAGCTGGTGTCAATAGAATTGGATCACGTTTTCGTTTTGGATTTTTCACATTCTTTTCATTTTGTCGCTTCTTCCGTTTGGCCGCTTCATCATCGGTGGCCTTTTTGCGTGTCGGTCGTTTCGATTGTGGCTTTTTGTTATAGAAATTCGGATTCTCTGCTTCGTCGCTGAACAAATAGCGCATTGTATTGGTGATCAATTGGTAATTCGCTTTGCGTATCTGTTTCAATGTTCGACATTTTTGTGGTGGTGGTGGTGTTTTAGCGCGTGATGTACTCGCAACCGGCTCATTTGATTTCGCATGGTTCGCCAATTCTTCGGAAATCACACAATGATTCAAATATGCCCGAACATTATTATACAGACTACGTATGATGCACATCATGAAATTGGTAAAATATTGCCGAGTGACATAGGTGAAAATGTTACCATAACCAATTGCATTTTTCTCAATGACTTTGTGCTTCTGACAGAACTTGATTATAGCCTGATCCAATTTCCATGTTTTACGCAATTTTTTCTTGCCATTGATACAAAATAATTTCGATTGTATTCACACGTAGTATTCCAAAATTCGGTACGAATGGCATCTTCATTGTTCGATTGCATGATTCGCATGAGGCTACAGTGTACGTTGAGTGAGCCAAGTCGCCAAGTGTGACTCATGTCCGTGACAATTTTATTGATAATGCTAGCTAATTCATCCTTATTCACTAGATTTTCATTGAACGACTTACGTTTACCCATTTTGATCGATTGGAATCTTTCTGAATCCTCATCACCATTGTCGCCATCGTCACCATCATTGAAATAATCGCTGACATTATCATTATTCGATGTATTCGGCATACTGGTGGCACGAGTTGATCCGGTATTGTTTTTTGTCGTGCATTGCTAGTATTCGATTGTGATTGTTTTGGACGTGTACCTGATGCGACTGTATCACCGGATGATGTTGGTGTAGACACATCGTTCCGATCGGCAACAGTAGAAGCAGCAGTTGTATTAGTATCAACACAAATTCCAAATCCATGTCGTAAACGCTGCAAGGATTCGACATGACTCCGTTCAAATTTTTCCACCAAATCTTCGACTTTTCGCTTAACGTTTGAATTCAATTTGATGTTCCGTGTGAACTGATTCAATTGTGTGCTCAATTCATTTGCAATTGTTTCAACTGTGTGTAGAGAGAAATGTGATGAAAGTATGAGTGACATTTCTTCATATACTCTATTAAAAAAAAAACTATTTAGCCATTTTTCTCCCATTTCCGATGCGAAATTGGCAAAAATAACGAAATTTGTGTTCACTATAGCCGACTACTTTTTGGTCTAAAATCCAAATCCGGTGGAATTTGGCTGATTGGTGGACTTTTAGGATTTGGCCTGGTTTCCAGAACTTCCAAAATGTAATTCCATATATTTATATATTATTCGGGTAATTTTATGCAGGAAATGAAGAAAAAATGGCTAAATAGTTTTTTTTTTGAGATTTTGTATGGAAAAATGGCATAAATCGTAAGTGAATTCAATATTTTACCGATTTGACGATGTGCTGCGTTTGAAGCTATTATTCTTGTCATGGAAGAAAACACATTTTGACATTCCATTTCGATTTGACTGTGTGTTGACGATGTGCTGGCATTTTGTATATTTTGGTGGATCTGTGAATGGTGGCTTAACGAATTTGAGCGTTGTTGCTGCTGCTGTCGATTGTTTTGATCGAATCGTACGCGTTTCGATTGTGTCAAAAGTGTCGAAGACTGTGACGAAACTAAGCTAGGTGTGTGTATGACATTACTGTGTGCGTCGACAACATCATCATCATCATCCGATTCAATAACTGTATAGATATATTTTCAGAATCAAAATAAGAAAAAGAAAAAAATCAAACGAAAGACACAACACAACGAGGTATTCACCTTTTCGTCTTTTGGATCCAGTTGTATTTGTGGCTCGGTATCGGTTGAAATATTGAGTTTCAGATTCGTTCTGTGACATGATTTCCAAACCAACGGTGCATGGTGTACACTGTTGTAATTGAATTTCGATTGATTGCTGAACTCCGTCATGCTCTTGTGTCGGCTCAGTTTGTTGGCTATTGTCCACAGTCACATCCAATGGTTGATTCTCTTCTTCTTCTTCGTCTTGATCTTGTGTCGGCTCAGTTTGTTGACTATTGGCCGATGCGCTATTCATTGGTTGTCGTTGGCGCTGCGAATTAGCCCAGTCAGAATACATTCGAATTCTTTCATTCGTTTCATTAACGCAAGTACGCTTCGGACGCATCCTTAATTATAAAATGCGGAAAAAATAGAAACAAATCGATACATATTCGTACAATATCGAAGAAAGATCTTGGACAACAAACAAGCGGAACAGAACATAACCAAACTTCAAAAAGCAAAGAAAAAATTGAACACGTGCCGAAATACTCATCAATAGCGATAATTTATTTTCGAAACACGACAAAACATGAATTTACCTGATTTATTTTGGGACTTGGATGAATTAATGCACAGGAAAAATTTAAAAATCGTTCCGTTGGTCTGATTGACAATTGCGTCTCACTTTCTTCGATCGTTTAGATGATGAAATTATCAAACACGTTTTTTAAAGTTTAGAATATTTTCCAATTTGTTATCAATTTGTTTGAAATCACGACAAAATATGAATTAATTCGAAAATTATTGAGGCTTATTTGGTTTTGAGCACAATAAAAATTCATTACGGTTTTTTTCCCCCTTTGAGACTAAATTATTTCAACTATTCCGAATGGAGCTCGCTGTGTAAGTGCGAAAGATTATTTGACATTTCGTAATAACAATGCCGACAAACTAGCTGCTACTGTATATGTGAATGTGTATGTAATTGCGCATAATTATTTCAATCTGAAACAATGACCAATACACTTTGCATTTATGTTTATATTGGTCGCGTATATAGGTGATTATTTTAATTTTCATTCGATTATATCGTTGTTTAAATGGTTATGAGCAAAAAAAAAAGTCATAAACACAAAAACAAAAAATGGATCCACCAAATTTGAATTCAAATATTTTCCCCAATGCGAGCAGAGATGATAAAAAATCAAACAAAAGTATTTCAATTATGATGATCTAAATACATATGAATAAAATGTATTTATATTGAAGAAAAAAAAAATCATAAAGCCACCGTTCATATTTATTACATTTATCAATCGACAACGAAAAATGAATCAATTTAATTGAAAATTGACGATGCCGTGTCTGCAATTATTTTGAAAGAGTTGGAATTTCAAGTGAAAAAAAAATTAGAGCAAACAAAATTTTATGTCAATAAGAAAAAAATCGAGTTGCTATTCTTCAAAATAAATCGTTTACCTTCAAAAATTCAAAACTCATAAAGAAGCAACAAACTATTCACCATATATAATTCTTGAACTATGCGTTCATATAGCACCCACCATCATCTGAAAGAAAAATCTGTGTGAATTAAAAAACTTTGAATAAACTGTAGAAGACAACAGTTGAAGAAAAATATAATTTTTCTCAGTTTATTTAATCCTCTTATATTCTAATTGAACAGTGTATGGTATTGACTTATCTGAATCTATTCAAACTACTGATCCTCTTATATTCTAATTAATAAATGAAATATGAATGGTATTGGCTGATTCAAGTGCGTGTGTGTGTTTGTGTGAGCGCATTTGTATTTTAAGAAATGGTGGTTTTATGAATTTTGAAATAAATCCTCTATCACAGAGTTAACCTCTGTGACTGGTTTTATTTTCAAAATGGCCTTATCGATGCTGATATCAATGTTAACCATAGAGGACATTGGCACATAGAATGTTTCGATATCACAACGAATTACGGACTCAAGTTTTTCCAAAAAACCACCAATTTCGCATACGTTCCCATTCGGAGTGATTTCTCCGGCAAAACAAATTGATGGGTCGACAGGTTGTGATACCATAGCCGAATAAAATGCTACACACTAGACTGGCCCCCAAAACACAACAGTTGAAATTTTTTCGCTTTTACCTCGGAATACTTTTCCATATGGTGTGCAAATAACGTGTGTAAA